GATGGGCTGGTTGCCATGGTGTTTGGTAGGGAACGGAGGGTTGGGTTGGTCGCCATGGTGATTGGTAAGGGACAGTTGGGTTAGTTGCCATGGTGTCAGGTTGGTAGAAAAGGGATGGTTGGTTTGGTTGCCATGGCAGCAGGTTGGTAGAGATGGGACAGTTGGGTTGGTTGCCATGGTGATTGGAAGGGAATGGATGGTTGAGTTGATTGCCACAGGGGTTGGCTGTCAAGGAGGGGATGGATGGGCTGGTTGCCATGGCAGCAGGTTGGTAGGGATAGATAGGTTGGTTGCCATGGCAGTGATGGTTGCATTGTCTGCTGTGTTTCAGTGGTTGGGCGCCACAATGAGTTATGGTGATTGACCAAGATGGATGGATGGGCTGGTCGCCATGGCAATTGGTTGCCAAGGACGGAATGGTTGGGTTGAGTGCCCAATGATGGTTGCTAGGGAATGGATGGGCCAGTTGCTTGCCATGGCAGTTGGTTGCTAGGGAAAGGCCAGATGGGATGGATCATGTGGCGGTTGATAGGGGAGGGGTAGGCGGGTCAGTTGCTATAACACCTGGTTACTAGGGAAGGGATGGCCCTGTGGGTTGTCAGGGTACCTGGTTGTCATGGCAGTTTGGTTGCTAGGGAGACAACTGGTGCTGGCAGGTGGTTGCTACGGAAGGGCTTGGCAGGTGGTGTGCTGCAGCGATTGGTTGCCAGGGGAAGGGGGGGGGGTCCAGTTATCACCATGGCAGCCAGTTGGTTAGGGCAGCTGGTGACAGGGTTGCCATGGTGGTTTGGTTGCTAGGGGAGGGGCTTGACAACTGAAAGGGAGAAGGGGGGGGGTCACTCACCTGCCTATTGGTCACCTTGGGCAGGTGGGGCTTGATTAGAGGCCTAGTTCCCACGGTGACTGGTCTCCAGGCTCCCACCTGATTGGATGACAGGTCACTCAAGGGAGGGGTGTGTGCTGACAGGGTTGGTGGTCACTAGGCAACCAGTGGATGGTCAACAGGCCTTATGGGTGTGGGGGCAGGCTGGTTGCTGGTTGGGGGGGGGTTAACAGGTTGCTAGGCAATGAAGCCTGGCAGGGGGTGGCAGGGGTGTCACTTGGGGACAGCTGCTTTGGCTACTGGTTGCCAGGGTCAAGAGGTTACCGGGCTGTCTCTAGGCAACCCATGGAGCCTATGGCATGGGGGTAAGGTGAGTGGGGAGGGAGCACCACTGACTCCTCCGTTGCCTTGGCAATGGGCCCATGCCAAGCTTCCTGGCCTAGTTCCACTGCAGGGGGCGGAGCCAGGCCAGGCCCCGCCCCCACTCACAGGAATTAACCCCGACCCTTCTTGGGAGGGGGGGAGCCACCCCCCAGACCCTTCCAGCGTGTTTATTATTATTATTAATTATTGTTAATTAATTATTAATTAATAAAAGAAAAAACCTGACCGAACTCTTCAAGGGGGGAGGGGGTGGCAGGGCCGCGGACCCCCCCGCCCAGGGCTTGGGGAGGGAACCTGGGGGTCCCGGCTCCCAGAACCCCCTGCTCCCCTCCCCCAGAGAACCCAGGTGCCCAGCCCTGCCCCTGGGAGCACAGGCAGGCAGGTAACCCGATCGGATGCGGACGTGCGGGGCTCCCCGTCGCGGCCCTGGCACACAATGGTGCCCCTCCCCCCCTCAAGGAAGTGCCCCCGCTCCCAGGCTGGAGGTGGAGGGGGGGTCAGGCCCCCTGCTCCTGCTAAAGCTGAGCCAGGCCTGGCCCTTGCCCCAGAGGGGGCAGGGGGAGGCTGGGGGGGAGGGGGAGGGGTGACCTGGGCCCCTAGGGGGGGACCCAGACCCCTGGAGCGGTGGTTGGGAACGTCCTGGGGTGGGGGTGTCCTGGATGCCTGGGTTTTTGAGGGAGGGGATGGGGTCCTGGATGCCCAGTCCCCCCCACCCACTGCGACTCCCCCATGCAGCCGGGACTCTCCTGCTCTGCCTGGTGCTGGCCCAAGCAGCTGCGGATCCCACCGCTAACGCCATTGCCCAGGCCTACAGCCTGGCCCGGCTGCTGCAGGCCGATGCCACCGACTTGCTCCAGGCTTATGTGAGTCCCCGGACCCTCCCCTGGGGTGCCCAGCTCTGGGGTGGAATGGCTGCATAAAACAGCGTGGGCAGGCCTGAGATGCGCCCAGCTCTGGGGTGGAACAGCTGAGACCCGTCATATATTACACCCTGCAAAGAGGGCTGAGATGCAGCCAGCTGGGGTGGGGGCAGAAGGGGTACATAAGACAGCAGGGGGAGGGCGGGGTGTGCCCAGCTCTGGGGTGGAACAGCCGAGGCCCAGCCACATACAACGCCCTGCAAAGAGGGCTGAGATGCAGCCGGCTCGGGGCGGGGAACAGCAACAAAAGGCAGCACGGGGAGGGAGGAAGGGCGGGTGGAAGAGCTGCAGAGCAGCCACGTCCAACACTGCAACCCTCCTGCCCTCACCCCTTACCTCCACTCGGGAAGCTCCTTCCTCCCCTCTCCCAGACCAGACTGGGGGGCTGTGCCCCAAGGGCAGCTGGGTTTATATAGCCGTAGGCCTCGCCCCCTTCCTAGCCCCACCCCCTCTGCCTTAAAGCCACAGTGCCCAGTTTTTAAAGTCTTATCCTTCCTGTTTCTAGCCCCAAAAGGGGTGGAGCCAAAGCTTGGGGGCGGGGTTATAGGGGGAGAGGAGATTAGGGAGGGCCTGCAGGGGAGACCTACTGAAGCCTGCTTTTTCCCTGCCCCCCCAGCTGAGCGCCCAGGGCCCCCCCTTCAGTACCCCCGGCTTTGCAGTGCCGGCGCTGGGCTGGGCTGGAGTCCCTGGCGCTGCCCTGCCCTTTCCTTCCTGGCGGGGCCTGGGGGACGGGGAGCGTCTCCGTGGCAACCAGGTGGCTTACACGGCCTACGAAGCCTTCTTGGCAGTAGTGGCGGACGACCAGGCCCAGCTGCACCCGGGGAGGCCCCAGCTCCTGGCTCGCCTGGCCCAGGCCCGGGTGCGGGTGCGGGGCCTGAGAGCTAGCCTTGACACTGTCATGGCTGCTCTGGGCGTGGTGCCAGGCACCGGGCCCCCACCGGTTGCTGTGGTGACCGCCAACCAGGCCTCAGCCTTTGAGAGGAAGTGCCGGGGCTACGTGGTCTGCCGCGAGTACCAGGCCTGGCTGGGCCGCACCGTCCGGGACCTCACCCTGCTCAGGGCCAAGTACCTGGCCTAGGACGCCTCCATGCCACTTCCTGTGGGCTGGCAAGATGGCCGCCCCACTTCCGGTTGGCGTAGGTGACAGCCAAGCCACTTCCTGTTGGCGTGGACAATGGCTGGAGGCACTTGCTATGGGCCTGGATGATGCCTGACTCTACTTCCTGTTGGCCTAGGCAAGAGCCAAGACACTACCTGTTGGCCTGGACTTCCTGGTGGCTTACAGCGGCCATCCTACTTCCTGTTGACTGCTCCAATGGCCACGCCACTTCCTGTTGGTCCCTGCTATCACCAAGGTACTTCCTGCTGGCTGGGCAGACTTGCACCTCACTTCCTGTTGACCCTGCCAGTGGCCAGCACTCTTCCAGTTGCCCTTTGGCTGTGCCCCAAGCTCCCTGCGGGCAGGGTTGGGCACTTCCTGTCCCAAAGGCCTCTCTGCCCATTTCACAGATGGGGAAACTCAGGCAGGACCACAACTGAGCTGTCTGGCCTGGCTGGACAAGGTGAATCCTCTCTCTCTTGCGACGGTGACCACGCAAATGACCTTAGTTAACGTGCAAATCTCCTGTGGCAGTGACAGGGCAGCAGAGAGGGAGGAACGAACTGTGCCCAGTTGATAGCAGCCATTTAAAGAGCAGCTGGATGTCAACAGCGTCTGGGCGTCTCCACACAGCCAGCTCTTGGGTGGGGTGGCTGGAGACTGTCTGCATATAACACTGGAGAGAGGGACTGTAATGTGGCCAGCTCTGGGGTGGAACAACTGAGGTACGGCAGCATGTAATGCTGCATAAGGAGACAGGGATGCAGCCAGCTGTGGGGTGGAACAGCTACATAACAGGGGCGTATAACACTCTATAGGGAAGCCTGGGATGCAGTCAGCTCTGGGGAGGGACAACTGAGGTATGACTGCATATAACACTGTATAGAGAGGGCTGGGATGCAGCCAGCTCTGGGGTGGACTTGAGGTATGGCTGCATATAACACTGCATAGGGAGGATTGGGATGCAGCCAGCTCTGGGGTGGAATTGACTTATGCCTGCATGTAACACTGTACAGGGAGACAGAGATGCAGCCACCTCCAGGGTGGAACTGAGCTACAGCTGCATATAACACTGTGTAAGGAGGGCCAAGATGCATGTAGCTCTGTGGTGGGGTGACTAGAGAACAGCTACATATAACACTCCATAGGCAGGCTGGGATGCAGCCAGCTCTGGGGTGGAGCAGCATGGGGGGTGGAGACTAGCCACTTGGGTTCTCCTCACAACCAGAGAAATTGACCAATCAAAGCCCCCCTGGGGCTGTCTTCGAGACCCAGCAGTGTTCAGACCACGAATCAGCACGAGTCATTGTCACCCTCCTTTAAATAATTCATATATGCAGGTGTCCACCACCCCTGTGTCCGGTCACCCCCACTCATCCGTCCACCTACTACCCACCATCCCTCCCACTTACCTACCCAGCACCTCTGGGGTGGGACCACTAGATGGCAGGTGCATATAACACTGCAGGGGGGAGCTGAGATGCAGCCAGCTCAGGGGTGGAAGGAGGAATGGCTGCACATAACACCGCCTACAGACACCCCAGATGCAGCCAGCTCTGGGGTGGGGAGACTAGGTAAGAGACGCATATAAGACTCCACATAGGGCTGAGATGCAGCCAGCTCTGGGGTGGAGTGGCTGGGGAACAGCGGCACGGGGAGGGCCGGACGCCTGGAAACCAACCAATTAAAGCCCCTTGGGGCCGTTTTCAAGATCCCACCATGTTCAGACCGCGAATCGTCACGTGTGATCATTGCCCTCATTTACATAATTAACATATCCAGGTGTCCACCAGCCACGTGCCCAGTCACCCCCTCCTCACCTGTCTGCCACTACCCACCACCCCCTTCTCCGCCCGCCCAACTCCTCAGCCAGCCACTCATCCGCCAGTCCACTTACCTGCCACCCCTCCGGCCTCCCACTCACCTACCACCATCTCCTCCTGCGTCCCCTTCTCCACGCTCCCCAGCCACCCACCTCTTCCTACCTGTCCACCCCTCCATCTCAGCTGTGGCCCTCCACTTCCCCACCA